GGGCTACAGATAATGGCTTTGTAGAGATGCTTTCTAATGCAAAGCATCCAGGAGGGATCAGTAGGTTGTATTCAGTCTTTCCTTATCATCAGCGGGCAACAATAAACAGCCACAAGCTTAGGACTCGGATGGGCAATGAGACGGCTTGTTCCAAGGGGATGAGCATTCCCAGCTCTGTTAACTCTGTCCGAACTATCAAACTAGCTACATGGTTGCAAACCTCCGGCAACATGTGAGGTACCTCCTCTTCCTCTGGAGGAATCAGATTTAAGTAAGAAGAAGGCGAGCAAAAGAAGAGAGGGAGCAGCCTAAGCAAAGGTTTGCTGTGAGTTTCTTCAACCTCAGCACTGCTGAGCCTCAGCTGGATGAGCCTTTGTGGTGGGGCCAGTCCTGGACTGTGGGGGACATTCAGCGGCAGCCTATGAGGCTTCTACCTACTCTTGTCGGTAGTAACCACCCCTCTCCAGCTCAGGTGAGACAATACGAGGTGTCTGTGGATGATGCCAAGTGATTCCATGAGGGGCGGAGTGTTCTGGGTTGAGAACCATGGCTCGAGGGTAGGAATATTCAGGGATCAGGAGTGTGCATGTATGTACATGTACGTGCATGTATACATGCACATGTGCTTGTGTGAGTGTGGGCATGCCTGTGTGCATGTGTGTGTTTGCTCCTGACCCAGAACCGTGAAGGCGGGTATAGCGTTACCTGCTGGAGGGCTTCAGAGTCACTAGGACTAGAGTGCTTTTTCTGCTTTTTCTCCCCAGGATCTGCCTACACTGTGGAGTTCACCTTTTCTGCATGATGAGCTGAAAAACATACCTCTCCACCTCTTTTTGAATAGGAGCCACCCTTGGGTCTCTCTGTACATGCCCTCAGGCTGCTCATGACCTTTAATGGTTGGTTCGAATCTCACTGCACAGGGGGTCCTGACCCCACACCCTGCCCTTGGATGGGTAGATGGGTCCCACTGGGGCTCTCCTGGTCCTCAGGTCCCTGCGCCTGTCCCTGCTGCACCCAGCTGGCTCTGTGGCTGCTGTTTCTGAGGTGCAGTGTAGAGCACTGGCACATATTTTAATCACTATTTCCATCTTCTGCTGGGCCTCGGCCTAGGCTCCAAGTTCTTGTTCTGCTGGCCTCACGTGCTGGTCTATTTTTGGAAGTGAGAACCATGGCTTGCCCTTCGCTTTCTCTCAGGAACCTCCGTGCGGAGTTTCTCACCACACCCAGCAGGACAGCACGTGGCCAGGCCTTCATGGAATATGTGACGGCTGCTCCCTGGCTCAGTTTCCTGATCAGCCGTGTGATAACTGCACAGCCACAATCAGCAGTGTGTTATTATTAAGTTTGCTGTTTGGCAGAGATAATGTGCTAAATCATGGTAATAAATAACGGTGGGCATGGAGCTTTAGGTTTTAACAAAATATTAGGTCCGAAGTAGGTACTTAGTGTCTTCTGTGGGGTAACAAACGTGTTCAGAGCAGCCCATCAAGGCACAGTGAGGGGTCTTCAGTTCTGGCCACAAGGGATTAGGACATGGCAACCCGGCTGAGTAAGTGGGCCTGACCTGTCCATAACAGAGCTCCAAGGAACGCACAGAAAAAGTTCCCTAAGCCCCACACCTGGGCCCAATCAGAAAATGCTGTCTTGGATTTTTCTCACAAGACTTCAGCAGGCTTTCCATAGCATGGCCTAGATCTGACATCAGCCTGAGGAGGGGGAGACACGAAAGGCAGCTGCCTGTAAGCCCTCGGCCACCATGCTCTCTCTTCCACTGTGTTCTGCTCTCACCTTGTGCAGTGTGTTTTTCCTGCTGTTAATTGGCCCACCCTCGCTCTGCAGAGCGTGTTTTACTTTTTCTTTTCTTTTGTTTCTTTGTCTTTTTCATGCAAGTTTTTACTATGTAGCCCAGGTTGGCCTGAACTTATAGTGATCCTCCTGGTTCAGTCTCCCAAGGTGAGTACTGCCAAGCCTGGCTCACTTTTCTTACCTTTAGTAAATGTAAAATCTCACTATTGTGGGGGCTTTTTTTTGGTCTCATTTTTTGTTCAGGACAAGAAGAATCTAGAAAGAATTTCTAGGAGTCCCCGTGAGCGCTTCCAGTGATCAACACTGGTTAAGAGTGGGAAACCCTCCACCCCAGAGGGTTCTCCAGGCTGGATTTGGACTGAGTCAGCCTCTTACCTATTCTCTGTCCTGTGGCATACTCTCTAGTCCTCCTCAGAGGGAACAGATGCCGGGGAGAGCTCCAGGACTTATGTCTACAAGATCATTCCAGGGACCCCCAGCAGGTCTCAGTTCTAAGAGATAGACTATGAGCTCATAGGGCTGTGATATAAAGGACCCGTGTCCGGGCTGGAATTTATGCACATATTTCTGAAGGTAGTGTGTTGGGGTGGGGGAATGGAGATGAACAGTGTGTGGACTGGGAGGTTTGTACTGGCGGCTGTGTGAGTGCTGGACTGCAGGATAGCTGGATAGCCAAAGGGGATCTCCTGGAAGTCCCGGGCACAAGATAACCAACACCTGACTGCATGGGGCAGTCATGCAGAGGGAAGGGCTGTGATGCCACAGCCAGTTGGTTACAGACTCTGAGTATCACAGTCAGTATCGCTTCTTTTTTGGGTTTGGCTCTTTCTAAACCCAGCCGCTTGGTTGGGCACTTTCTCTCCTTCCTTCCTTTCCTTCCTCCTCTTCTCACTTCCTTCTTCTTTCCTACTCAGATGAAATGAGACTGGCCTTTAAGACACAACTCTCCTGACTGTGGGAAAGCTGAGATCAACTGTCCTAGGCAGCCCCGCCTTGGGACGACCCTCCCAGAAAAGTCCGAGGAGCACAAGAGGAGACAGAGGTCACAAGAGCAGGTCTCTCTGGAGGGGCTCAGTGAGCTCCTCAGACTCCTTCAGAGTGGCCTCAGCTACATGGTCCCAGGTCCCTGCAAGCCCCGGGAAGGAGAGTCTGTCTGGTCTCTGCTTTCTGATGTGTGCCTACTATTCTGCCTTCTTTCCCCAGTGTGTGCATGGAGCCCCATCAAGAGCCATTGCAGCTTTGGAAATGACCTCAGTCTTTAGAATATTTGTTCTTTTTGGATTTTCAAACAATGTCCTCACTTTGCCAGAGGAAAAGGGAAAGAGACTCTCTAAACGAGCGGGCTACCCTTTGTTCTGGGCCTATAAATCTGGCAAGAGCACATGTCCGGCTTTCCCGTCCCTCCCGCATCATTGTCCCTGCTGCTGATTAATAGGTCAGAGCTAACTATAAACTGGCATTTCCTGACCAGCCCATCTCGCGGCACCCGCCTCCCCTCCTGGTTGCGCCTTAAAAACCTGCTGTATTTTAGAACATGATTTCACTCTGTTCCTCAGTGGGCTCCAAGGTGACTGCTCTAACTTAGTCAGGGCTGGCTGCTATTTCTGACTTAGCATGAGGCAGGGCCGAGGCTGAGGGGCAGATGTCATGTCAGCAGGACTTAGCTGGATTTGGGAGACGGCACCTGACCATGACCAGCAGAGCTGTATGGGGGGGGGGGGGCGGGTAATAAGCATGACAGACTTATATTTTGCCTTTGCTTTTCTTTTGAGTCCTGTGAGTAAGTCAGTTATATCTCATCCATGCAAAGTGATACAGAAGAGGAGGTCCCAGCATGAGAAGGTGGCCCTGATGTTGGTGGCTGGCTTAGCCAAGCTGATCTCACTGAGTGGTCTCACTCGGTGCTGCTGTGCTTTCACAGGGAGGACATGAAGGTCAGAAGAGGTGGGAAACCACACATGAGTAAGAAGGTTCAGCACTCCATGCTCATGCAGGGGGCGAGCGGAGGTGAAATGTGCAGGGAGCCAGGTGTTCCTGGTGCCAGTGCTGTGTTCGCTCTAATATTCTACCTCCCCAACAGCCAGTTTGGGGTTCATAAAAGAGTCACCCCATAGAGCTCTCACCAAGCTTAGCAACAAGCCTCGGTAAGTCTGTGTCTATTGGTGATGGAGCCCCTGGCTCAGGTGCAAGGAGCTTGGCAGCGAAGTTAGCATCCGCTGAATTTGCCTCTTTCACTTTAGCTCAGGGACTGAGACAACGGCGTCCCTGTGGACCCCAAGCCCTTACCAGGAGTGACAAGCTGAGGATAAAATTGCACAGAGGTTCGGGGGATGATTTCTCTGCTTTCTCCCACTTTGTTAGCTGATCAGGAAAACATATTTCCAGAAGTAAAGAGGCCCCAGGAGCATCCAACAGAAGCCAACTGTGAGTGACATTCAGCAAATCCAATTTGGATCTCTGAAAGTCCTGGCTTTGGGAAGCTTTAATTCCTTCCACATTTCAATCATTGGACTCTTTTGGAATAAACTGTGTTCCAGATTGGTGGCAACGAAAGACTGAGATGTACTTAAGTTGTTCACAGGACAACAAGAGGGAGGGCAAAATAAAACAGTGTAGCTGTAGAGGTGGTGCATGCCTGCAATCTCAGAATTTGGAAGGCTGAGGACGCTAATCGCTGTGAGTTCAAGGTCAGCCTGGGCTACCTAGTGAGTGCAGGGCCAGTCTGCACCCTGTCTTAAAATCCAAAGAAACCACCAAAGGAGGAAAAAACCTCCCCAAACAAACCCCAACCAAACAAATCCCCTCCCCACCACAGTCAGTGATCTGTCTCCCCAGGGTTCCTCCAATGCTGTTTAGGTAGGACCTTCCAAAGCCACAGAGGCCATAATTACAGATCTATCTATCTATATATATATATATATATATATATATATATATATCCCCACCCTCAGTCTGATCACAGAGATTTATCTGTTGCTGATATTTTTATTAAAGTGCTAATGCATGTGCATGTATCTATTCATGTGTTGTGGTTGTGTCTAGATGTCCCTCCAAAGCCTCGTGCAATCATGGGGGCAGGCTTCTAGAGTTTGTGAATGACTCATGGTCCAATGCTGGGATTATGGGTGTCAGTGCTACACCCAAGTAGGTGTGGCCTTCATACAATATAAGGGACAGAAAGAGTCTTCTCTGTGCGCTCCTCCCTTTGCTCTTGTTGCTTTTGCTGTTTTCCACTGCCATGAATTACTGTCCTCAGCCCTGCCACCCTGCCTTGGAACCAGCAGCTTATGGACTGAAACCTCCACAAACTGTGAGGTAAATAGACCTTCCTTTCCTTCATGTTAGACATTGGTTATTTTGTCTCAGTAACAAGTGAAAAATAACCAAGACACCATGTGATTACCTAATAAGATTGTACTGTATGTATTCATTTGTATCTTGGCCTTAGTCAACACAAGAAGATCGTTCTGTGCCAGGATCTGCTCTTTTACAGCATCATTTCAAATATTTCTTTATGTCAGTGTCTCAGAGACATTTAAAACCCACTCCCAATTTTCTCTCTACTTCTGATTTTGGTTGGCCTCAGGATTCTATCTATTGGGTATTTTCCACGTGCTAAATGCTTTACAGACATGTCACGATGTGAGGTGACACCCATGCTGGAGAGCTTTCTATTCAAATCCCACCTCTGTTCCTTACTTTCTGTGTTGGTTTCTGAATTTCTCCAAGTCACAATTGGCTTCAGGGGAGCATGGAGAATGCAGTAATGATACTGTCCTTCAAGCACAATAAAGTGGGACAAAACAGAGCGAGGCCCACGGCAAAGGCAGCTGTCTTTTTGGTGGAGAGTGCCCCGTCCAGCCTGAAAGAAAGTGTTCAGAGATGGGACGGCAACCAGGGATAGCTGTGGAGAGGAGGTAGAGGCAGAAATTCGAGGCACCCATCCCCCCTCCCACTTTCTGCTCAGTTACACAGGAGGAAGCCAGGTGTCTTTGAGAGGACAGGATTCTGCTCCGCTCCTGGGCAAGGCAGAGGGAAAGGCTATTAGCAGATCTGTAAACTTGTGGGCATGCGCATGGGAACAGGCCCTGTGGGCCTTGCACAGAGCGTGTGCATGGCTCCATGCTCACTGCATTAGAGGGTTCAGGGCTCAAGGTTGCCTGCGGAAGTGCTTTTAGGACTTTTGGGTTTTTTAGCTAGGAACTCCATGTAGGGGTTTGAGCTTAGGTTGCGATGTCCTCAGACAGATGTGCACTGTCAGTTTCTCTGCCATTTCTCTGGTCTTCTTTCTCCTCTTCTATGAAATTGGCACAATGATACATGGTTCAGAGGGTTTATAAAGATGACAAGAGAGGATGTATGCAGAACTGACTCCATGCAGGACAGACACTAAAAAACATTCACCATTTGGTGACTGCGGCTTTTACCCATCGGTCCTTCCTCCTACACCTGCTCACAGATTATCTTCTGTCTCTGTTTGGCTCATGGGAGTTTGAAGGCAGCCTGATGTTTGTAGAGCAGGGGATAAGAGGAAACTGATTAGGGATGAAGGGTTATGTGCATGAGGGGTGAGATCAGGATCCATTGGGGAATCCAAAGTTTTGGTCAGGTCAGTACCTGGGAAGTGGGTGGAGGTGCTGGAAAGACTTTGAAGAGGAAACAACCCAGCAGCCTTGGAGGGCTTTGCAGAGTCCTTGCCTGAAGCAGGAGGGAAGCTGAGGTGACTCTGAGAGAACTTTCTCCAGGATATGTATGGCTTTCTTTCCCCCACAGTACTCCAAAAAAGTGTGTTCTACAAACCTGGTCCATGGCAAGATCAGCCCAAACTCTGAGAACTAAGGCTTGGGATTGTGTATAAGGTTTTGACAGAGTAATGCTATTAGGTGTGTTGAATATAACTGCAAAAAATTAGAGTCGCTGCATAGTAATTTATTTTTATTATATTTTACAAATTTCACAGTGTGCAATGAGTTAGTGCATCGAAGCAAAACAGACTGGGTCTCCACCAAAGATACTGGGAGAAGCACTTCCCGGGCCATTCTGTAAGTGTCAGATTTTGTTTTTCTTCAGGTAGGTTTTAGCACTTTCACTTTGGGAGAAGCAGTGAGTGGTGTCAGAAAGAGGTCAGATGACCCTTTGTTCTTGACCTCCCCTGTGATCATTGTCATTATCTGTAAAATGAGGGCAATAAAACCCACCACAGGGAATTTAGGGGTGAAGGGCCTGATGTGATCTGTGGCCTTTAGAGAGGCACAAAAGAAGTATTTGTTCTTTTCCTGTCTTCCCTGTACACTTAATTTACATAAAGAAAACCCTAAGTGTTTTGCTTTCTTAGTCCCTTAAAAAAATATTTACATCCATTCTAGTTTTTGATTATCTTAGGCTGGCAGTGGTTTTTGTAATCTCCCTAATAATGGTTCCAGCATTTTACATACTTTTGAACCTGAAAGCTGGGAATCCTTTCCCTTTTTGAAAGAAGAAACAAAGTCAGAGAGGTTGAATGGATTGCTCAGAGTTGTACAACTGGCAGCTTAAAATTCATGCTGGTCAGGCACCGGGAACTTTCCCCCATCTCGAGCCCTTCCGTAATACATGAGTGTTCTTTCCAGAGCCTCGAATCCCAAACTTGTCACCCCCGCAGTAGGTGACATTCTGAGCGCGATGTTCACAGATTTAACAAGCAGGGATCTTTGTGAACGGAGCCCAGGCTGTGTGGAGCCAGCAGTCTTTGTCCTGACCTCAGTTTCTAGGGTGGTGTGAAGGAACCCCACCCCATCTGCCTGGTAAGATCACAAGAGAGTGTTTGGGGATAGGTCCCCTGCTCTGGAAATGAAACTGGTGTCCTGTTTAGCTGTGGACACATCTGTCCTGGCAGCTGCTCACGTTGCGTAATTTGTCTTTCTCACCAGCCAGCACTGGCCTTCCCATGGTTGGGGGACGTTTTCTTTCTTTGCTCAAGAGTGAGTTGCAGTGATGAAAATAGATTTCCCTGCTCCCTACCCCACCCCAAGAAGATAAGGGAAGTGATTCCACGGTGTCCTGGGAGGATGCTGCGGATGGGGTGCTGAGGTGAGCCTGCTCCGCTGCTGTAAGCTCGCTGTCTATCTCCCCGGCTCTGCTTTCTCCCTGGATCACCTGACTGTGAGATTTAGGTGGATCAGTTTGTGTCAGGTCTGGAGGAGCAGCAGTAAGCCTGTCCAAGATGCCTCCTCCTTTTCAACCATGATTCCGAGGGCCTTCCTCATTCCACCTCACCATGATGGCTGGTGTTCTCTTGCCAAAGAGGAAACTGAGGCAGGAAGAGATTAGCACATGGTGAATTAAGCGGTGAGCTGTGTCTTTAGCCGTGAGCCCATAGCGCCCCTTGTTCTGATAGACAGGAAGGAAACCAGTTTGCGAGAATCCCTTCCAGTCCCTCCCACAGCTGAGGTTTTCTTTCCAGAACAGTCTGTCCCATGATGATTGAGATGTGAAACCCAGGTGTGATAAACCCGAGCAAAGATTCATCAGTTTAAAAAGTGTCAGAAAAGCAGGACGGGAGCATTGATGCATCAGAATAGTGATCCCCAATATTGTTGACCTAGGGACTGATTTCATGGGCTGCAGATTTTCCAAGGAGGGTAGAGGTTGGGAGGGATGGTTTGGTGATGATTTAAAGGAGTGAACAACTCAGATCCCTCCCTTGCCCAGTTCACAGCAGGGTTCTTGCTGTCCTGAGAACCTCACAGCTGCTCTGACAGGAGGTGGAACTCAGGCAGGAAAGCAATCAATAAATATGAAGAGACAAAGCTTTAATATTCGCCTGACACTTACTCCTCACTGTCATGGAGGGTGAAGCCCCTCTCTTTCTTCTAGTGTGGGGAGGAGGTCCCCAACCCCCAGGCCACAGACCAGTCCTCCATGGCCTGTTGGCTGGATCTGGAGTGTGTGTTGTTGTGATCAAGGATGCGGCGCTGGGATTGATTCAGGGTGCAGTGCTAGGACTAATGTTGTGAGTGCTCCCCACCCTGGGGGGAGGGGAGGCTGCTGTTTCTTGTCCCCTACTGCTTGCTGCTTGCTGTCCTGTGCCTGCCCCGCTGGCCATGAACCATATCCTCTCTGTGATGCCTGTCTGCCATGCCACCCTGCCTTGGTGCCACTTATGGCCCGAAACCTCTACAAACTGTGAGCCAAATAATCCTGTCCTCCTTTAACCTTGGGTGTCTGGTGTTTTGTCTCAGCATTGAGAGCAGTAACTAACACAGTTACCTGTGGACAGAAGAGAGTGGACAGGGAGCCCACATGGAGTCTGGGACCAAGCGTGAAGCTTCCGGTTATATGCAAGACACCTCATGGGTGATTTATATTTTTGTTTCAGGGAAGTGGATGCACACAGACTTTGCTTTTCATCCCAGATTTGACCTACAGTTGTGCAGTATAAATATAACATTTCTTCTCTCTCTCGCAACTGCTCCACTGGACGGATGCAGGGATGGTCATGCTCTGGAAGGAGAAGCTCTAATGTAGGTCAGTGGGTCCCCTTGTGGAGGACATTAGCTGCTCATCACAGTTTGTAAGTTGCCAACCACATGGCTTGTACCATGTCAGTGTTGTCAGAGGGCAGGGCCACAGAGGGGGGCTGGAAGGGACAAGAGATCTGTCAGTATTTTAAAGTCCCAGCAACAGTCCCACCTGTAGGATCTAATGGACGGTAATGTTGTTACTGAGAGCAATTGCATAAGGATGATCACTGCAGATTTGCTCTTTAAAAAAGCAATCTCCAGTTCTGGTCCAGTCACCCACATATGTTGGGGACACACAGAAGTATGCTTCCCCTGAGGTTGGTGCAAACAGCTCCATCTCCTCATTTAGTTTTTCTTTTGATACAAACATACAAAATCATTCCTTCTAGCTTTTGGGAAATATCTGTTATTGTTTTCTATGGTTACCCTGTAGTAACCATAGAAATGGTTGGAATGTCTTTCTCTCATCCATTAGAATTTAGCATTCATTAATCAATGTTTTCCTATCCCTTTCTTTCCTTTCTCTCCTCTCCCCAGCCTGTATTCTTTCACCTTCTGTGAGATCAACTCTTTGCATTCCACTCAGGAGCTAGAGTGTGTGGTTTCTCTCTTTCTGTGACTGGCTTATTTTGCTTAAAGTAAGTATCTCCATTTCCATTCAGGTTGTCTTAAATGACGGGATTGCATCACTCTTTGGGGCTGACTAGTGTGCCTTTGTACCTGCATCAGCTGAGGGACACATTGTTTCCATTTCTTGGCTATTGTGAAGAGGTCTGCAGTCAGCTCGGAGAGCAGATGGCTCCCACCTACTGATTTCATTTCCTTAGGACACAATAGTGGGATTATTGGGTCACATAGTAGGTCTATTTTTAACTTTTCCAGTAATGTTTATATTGATTTTCCTAATAGCTGTACAGTCCCATTGACAGTCGGAAAAGGTTCCCTCTTCTCTGCACCCGTACCAGCCCTCTATCTTTTGCTGTTTTGAGATATCAGGTCTCACTTGTTCTCAGGCTGACCTCAGATTCACCGTGTAGCTCAGGCTGACCTTGAACTCTTGACTCTTCTGTGCAGTCTCCTAGGCAGGCACCACTATCCTAGCTTGTCTTTGCTAATAACAATTTTAACTAGAACAAGGCGATGTCTCCAGGTGATTTTAATTTTCATTTACCTAATGATTGGTGATGCTGAGCATTCTTTTCATATATTGATTAGGATTTATATGTATTTCTTAAGAAATGATTACTTGGATGTGTTGCCCATGTAAAAATATTTCGTTTGTATGTATGTATGTATGTGTGTATTGTTGTACTGGTGATTGAACCCAGGACCTTCATTCTCAGCTACATCCCTAGCCCATCTTAAAATTTTTTTTTTCACTAAGCTGCTAAGTTGCCAAGGCTGGGGTACAGCTTGCTAACCTCCTGCCTCAGCTTCCCAGAGTGTTGGGATTTTAGGCCTGTGCTACCACATTCAGCTCAATGCCTGTTTTTTAATTAGATCCTTTTGTTGTTGAATTCCTTATATATTCTGTATATTTATTTCTTGTTAGACATATGGTTGGTCAACATTTTCTTCCATTTTATAGGTTGTCTTTTCACTTTGTTGATTATCTCCCTTGGTGTGCAAAAGTTTTTATTTTATTTTATTTTCCATTTGTCTATTTTTGCTCTTGGTTCCTCTGCTTTTGCATCATATTCAAAAAACTCTTTGTCTATTCTAATGTCTGGAAGCATTTCTCCTATTAGTTTCATATTTAAATTCTTATATGTGGGTAATTCATCTTGAGTTGATTTTTAAAAGGTGAGAGCTAGAGCTCTGGTTTTATCCTTTTGTTGCATTTCCCAGCCCGACTTATTGAAGAATGACCTTTTCCCAAAGTGTGCTCTTTGTTGAAGACCAGTTGGTAGAGACACATGAGTTTGTTACTATCCTAATAACATTTTCTTTTTTAGTATATATTTAATCTTAATTGATACATAATAAGTGCTCATATGTATGGGTTACATCATGATATTTCAATACATGTATATAACGTGAAATAATCAAGTTAGATCAGAGTACTTGGCCATTAGATTTATTATTTCTTTTTGAATGTTCAAAATCTTATTAGGTACTTGGAAATATGTAGTTAATTGTCATCAACTGTAGTTACCCTATAATAGGATTTCAAATTCATATTATGAATGCGTGCATCATGGTACAATTTCAAAAACTACTAATAGTTATACAATGACTACAGTCTTAGCAATGGGGAGGCCAAGGCACATGGATCTCAAGTTCAAGGCAGTGAGTTTAGGAAGAGCCTGTCTCAAAATATTTAAAAAACATTTAAAACATTTAAAAACATTTAAAAAATGGCTGGGGATGGAGCTTAGTGGGAGGCCATGTGTTCAATCCCCAGGTCTAAAACAAAACAAAACAAAATGAAACAGCTCTACTGTGAGTAGCTGTTCTCTTTATTCTCTCTGTCTTCAGTGCCATCTCATGAATTTCTGTGCAGACACAACCATCCTTTTAAAATAAAAGGTCCTGAAAACACTCACATGTAAATGAAAGCCCATTTCATCCCTCACTCTGCTTTTTAAAAACCATACTATATTGTGTAGCGCTTTTTCTATAATGACATATGCAGATTATCATATGGTTGCTCCATTAATTTACTTACCAGACATTGAGGTTATTTTTCCTATTATGGTGTTGTAAATGATGGATGTGGAATATATATACAACAGGATGCTAAATGGAACTCTCAGTTTCTGACTGAGCCTCTAAATCCCTAGAAATGATACGATGGGTGCTGAATATCTCCACCCCAGTCCTAAATGAGGTGCTAGACCACCTGGGCCAGGCCTGTAGGGAATGCGGGGTGTGGTTATGCTAGCTGGGACCTTTGTTGGACTTGAGCCTTTAGAAGTGACATGAGGTTGGAGAGGCCTGGAGAGGAGACCTTCTTTGGAGGGAATTGACAGTGGGTGGCTGCCGTGACCCTCCCCACCATGTCACATGTGTTAGTGAACTGGGATAGATTAAAGACTGAAAGAAGAACTCTCAGAGACTTGGCACCTGTGCCTGGGACTTGAGTTTGGTGGCCTGAGCCTGTAGTAAAGCGGCTGAGGCTAGGTTGGCCTGAGGTGGTGGAGAATGAACCCTACCAGGAGCTGGGGAGCAGTGAAGGGTAAAGCACTGCGGTCTGTGGGCCAAAAAAGGGGCAGCAGGAGAAACTAGAGCCACCCCAACGACACTTTCCAGTGGGCCCTCTGAAACAGCGCAAGAGGCGGAAACAGCCCACAGCAGGGTGAGAGATTCTCTCACATTAGGCAAAAGATGCAGAGATGCCCCAGGGCAGGACATCGGAGGAACCCACAAAACCCCCAGCCCAGAGGACAGAGGCCCAGCTCCCAGAAGTATCGGCCATGGGAACCTCTGCCCCTGTCCATGCTTTTTTTTTCCCCTCTGGCCTCTGTTCCGTTGGAGGTAGCAATGTGAGGGGAAGATGGAGGACATCCTTGCCTTCCTCCTCCTAGCTGGCCTCTGCATCTGAGCTGATAAGGGAGAATCCAGTGGGTAAACCCACTGGAGTATGCTTCGAAGTTACAGACTGGTTTTGGGAATTAAGGGACCAAGGGAGTGAATTCCTAGAGTGAGGAAAAAATAAATTTGCTTTAAGTTTCCCCATTGTATTCAGCTTATATGACATTCTTTGTGAACGTTTATGATCTGTATATAGAATAAATTTCTAGAAGTGCAGTTTTTGTGTGAGGCAATAAAGTATTTTACATTTTGGTAATTATAGTGGAATTTCCTTCCAACTATCCATTCGTACTGTCCCAATCATGAGAGAAAGAGGTGGTCTCCCAGTACCTTTTCTATACTATGATTGTCAGGCATTGTTTTTCCTGATGAGTTGCTGTGTTTTTTTCTTATTAATTAGTAAGAACTCTTTATATAGTGAGGCATTAGTCTTTAGTTTATCACATATGTTGCAGATATTTGTCAGTGTGTGTTATTTGTCTTTGACGCTGTACAATGGATTTTCCAAAGTGCATGAATACTACCAGATGGGATGAATGTGACTTTCCTCTAGCTCAGTGATGGCGAACTCTTTAGAGCTTTCAGTGATATAAACAGCCCCCTCTGGCACATGTGCCATAGGTTCACCATCACTGCTCTAGCTGAATTAACAGCAGAGTTTTTCTTTTGTATTTTATTTTCTTAATTAATAACCAATGAACCTGTAAAGAAAATAAAAACACAGCTTGAAGGGTTGGTCTCTGAAGTCAAGAGGTTAGGAACCACTGCTCAAATCTGTACCTGACTCGCCTTCACGGCACCATCCAAAGCCCTTCTGGTTGAATATTCTGTGGTGAAGTCACCTGAGGCCAGAAGTCATCACTTTGCTAATTCCATATAAAACACAAGCAGTAGCATAAAGCTGGAGCTGAGAAAAGGGTCCCGCAGTGACCTTTTTCCTCTCCGCCTTTCGCCTGCTCTTCCCTTCCCCTTTTTGCTTTTCTCTGGCCTCCAACAGGGGAGAGAGAAAAGCAGGGAGGAGAGCAATGCAGAGGGGTGTGAAAGGCAGTGAAGACTCCCCACTGTTTAAGGCCACGCCTAAGCTGTCCCTTCATGTCTGACCCTTCCCTGTGCCCCAACACCTCGAGCTGCCCTGTGCCCAGGCTCCTCTGGCCTTGCTGCCAGCTGCTTCCCCTCCTATGAACTTGCTTCCTCTTTCCTGCTTGGTACACTCGAACTTTCAAATGTCACTTCCTCTAGGCGCCTTTTTATGGCCTGAGCAGAGGTAGTGTCCCCTCCTCTGGCTCACTTCTTTCTTACAGGATTCATGATGCTGTCCTCTGAGCGTGTGGCTGCTTCTGGCCCAGCAGTTGGGATGCAGTAGTGGCTTTGTCATTGTTCACTGAATGAGACTTTTTAAGGAGCAAAATTGTGTCTTGGAGAAGGCATCACAGGAGTGCAGCTGGAGCAGCACCCTTCCAGGGGAGCTGGGACACCAGCCTGCTCTGCCCTTTTGAGTCTAAGTAGAGCCCCGCATCCTTCACTGAGTCCTGCGGATTCATCACCTGGAAACGCATTCTGTGTCAGGTCAGGGAGAAAGCAAGGGAAACTCAGAGCCTTCGCACACCGGACCTCACACTTCGGTCAGTATCAGACTCACCTTGGGGAACTCTGGGGAACTTTGGGAATTCTATCCTACTTGCTTCAAGAAGTTAGAGACTTACCTCCAGACTCAGAGCAAGTGGACTGCCTCAAAAAAAAATTAAACCAAACCAAACCAAACCCAACTCAACCCCACCCCACCCAACCCAAACCCAAACCCAAACCCAAACCAGAAAGCCTCAGGAATATCTGCCTGTGTGTCTTAGTAAGGATTATATTGAACCACAGTGGAAGTGTTTTCTAAACAAACTCCTGAACATAAGACAAAGAAAAAACTCTGATGAATAATTATACATAAATAAATGAGTTTTCCTCAACTGTCCTTTGTCTGCATTTTTTCTCCATCTTTAAGGAGCAGCGGCACAGCCTGAGACATTGAACTCTTCTTTGCCTCTCAGCCTCCACACTTGTGCAGAGGTGCAGCAAGCCCTTGGGAGCTCCTGTGGAACTTTTCAAGCTGCAGAAGTCTTCTCTCCTTGCCTCGCGGTCAGCCCCCCCCCCCCCATCTCTGCCTCTCTGAACCAGTGCAAGTGCAGAGGTGCTGTCCTTCCTAGGCCACCAGGAAGGCTGTACTCACATTTGCTGTTGCGCTGGTCACAGAAGGGCATCACTTCCCTTTTAAGAGAAGAGTTATTTACATCAGAAAAAAATTATTAACGCTTCATCTGATTTTCACAAATCACATGGAAACAACCAGTTTTTTTTTTTTTAAGAAATGTGCAGGAATAAATATCAGGTAAAATAATAATACTAATCTCCACCATCTTTTAGTGTTTTAGTTTACCAAGAATCTTTACAGTCATTTTGTCATCAGTTGCTCACAGCTATATTTAAAAGTAGTTTCTACCATTCAGCCAGGCATGGTGGCTCACACCTGTCATCCCAGAGCTCAGGAGGCTGAGGCAGGAAGATCATGGCAAGTTCAAAACCAGCCTGGGTTACAAAGTGAGCTCCAGGCCAGCCTGAACTGCATAGTGAGACCCTGTCTTTAAAAGACAAAAACAAGCAAACAAACAAAAAGTAGTTTCTACTGTCATCTCTGTTTACAGGTTAGGAACGTGTGCACCAGCCAAGAAGAAGGTCCTTGTGAGGTCTCACAGCTGAGATGTTAGGGTCATCCTTCCAAGTGAGCAGAAGCTTTTGGGGTGCTTAAGGAATAACCCCTGCACATGCCAACAGCCAGAAAGTCTCACAGGTGAGCCTCACCTGTCTTCGGAAGCAAGCTTTGCAGTTGTGTGTCCCTGAGGACTGCTGAGAACACTTCCCATATCTGTCAGAGGCTCCCATTATAGCTTCTGAGGAGGGGTCTGGTACAGGGCCATTCGTCATGCACGAGTTGTTCTTTTCCCTCAGCTGAACCAGAACCTCAGCCAAGAATCTAGCTTCCCACACCAGTCTTGGGGCACCTGTAAAATGTGGCAGAAAGTTTTTCTTAGTTGGGTTCTCAGTTCACAGTAAGATCTCCTCAATCTCTGAATTTGGACTCTATCCTTTTAGAAGGCTAAGCAGTGCCTGGCAATTCAGATCACAGGAGCATCTGACTTTAGGGTTTTTTTAAGACAGGTTCTCACTATTGTAGCCCAGGCTGGCTTCAAACTTTTGGGGTTCCTCTGGGCTCAACCTCCTTAGTGTGAGGATTACAGGTGTGCGCCACCACACCCAACTCATTTCAGTTCTTTTACTTTACATTTTCATCAATTCCTTTCTGTATCTGTGCTTCTTTTGCAGAATTAGAGATCTGTTTTAATTTCCTCCAAGATTACTGGTCCTTCCCTCTTCTCCAACTCTGTATTCATCATCTTAGTCCAAATCTCCATCAGTCGCTGCATTGGAAAGGTCTCCCGTGTCCGATCTCTCATTTATCATCAGTCAGTGTTTATCTTTCTAGAACACACATCTGACCATGCCACTAATCTGGTGGCTCTCTCCTAAGCAAGGCTACCTAAACCATCATTTGCTCTTGACCCTGCCTTCATGCCTAGTGTGGTACTGGCCCATTTCTCTTTGGCTCCAACTACATCAGTGCAATCACTCTCCCCTAAATCCACCATATTCTTTCACTCTTCCTTACCTCTCTCATCCCTTCCTCTCTTGAATACCTACCACTCTCCGCTTAGTAAGAACACTTCTAATAATTTCTCATGGCCGAGTCCTTATGCCATGATCTCTATGTAGTCTTTTGCACTCTCATTAATGTGAATGAATCTTCTTTTATTTGTACCTGTAAATTTTTAAAAAATATATTTGAGCCCGGGGCCTTCACACTAAGTCATACCCAGTCATTTATTTATTTATCTATTGCTATTTTTGAGATAGACTTGCTAAGTTGCTAAGTTGCTGTGTTCCTGGGCTCAGCTCAATCTTGTGATCTTGTCTGAGCCTCCTGAGGGCTGGGATTATAGGTGTGCACTGCCAAAACCTGGCCCTTATTTTATTGCTTTATCCCTCAGTTTTGAGGGGTGCAAACTATTTACAAAATATTTATCAAGAAGTATTAATTCCATGTAGCTGTTACAGGTACTAGGAGAATGAGTGACATATGAAATACACTCTAAAACTCGATCTTTACTCTTAAGGAATTCAGAGTAGGGGTCAAAATACATAATGAGCTGAGTTTAGTATTCTATCATGAATTTTGATGAAGACATGCACAAAGGGTGACGGGGTTATGGAGAAGGCACTAGACCAATTCTGCCTGAAAAATCCAGATAGGTAGACAACTGAGTTGTGCATCTGTTCATTCAGATTTACTGAGGAGCTGCAAGCTCTGAATTAGATGTGGGCAATATACATGAGTAATTAGGTGGCAGCTGGAAGAGAGGAACGCACAGAAAACAATTCCCGGAGAGGAAGGAACACCGACAAACAGATCGTGGCGGGGAAGGAGTTGTCAGCAGCTGAAGTTTAACTAGCAGTGGAGAAGTGAGGAGAAGCGAGTGGGAGGGTGGGCACCAGACTGATGTCTGCGCACATTTCCCAGCCCCAGCTGGGACTCTCTCCCTGCAAATCTTGAGCCCACCGTGTTGCGGTGAGTTGCCCAGATAGTTGAGTTCTTTCCTGTCCCTTGCATTACATTGGGAACATCTTGTGGGGATGGGCCATAGCTTCTAAACCTTTAGGTCCTAGGGTAATGAATGCTGTACAGTGGAAGTGTGGTTAATCGTTGCTCAGTAACTACGGCTCTGTTCTTTGTACTTAGTAGGAATTTGTGAGTAGGTTTTGAGATTTATATTTTGTTATTGTTCCCCGTGGGCTGTTATGCTCAGATCTGCCTAATCCTACTCTGCAGGGCAGAGTTTCAGGCGTTTAAAGGTCTCAGAATATGTGCTACCTAGGGCAGTCTGAGGGAGAGACATATAAGATAAGTCTATGTTAGCTTTTATTTTTCAGATAGATGTCCCTACACAGCATATAGAATTTGTTCCTCTGTGTAATACACCTTGATACTTCTTTTTCCCTAGTTCCCTCTCCTCTCTTCAATCCTTCTTCCCATCTTTATTTATAAAAGCATTTTCCCTTCTCTCTTTCTCTTTTCCCTTCCTCTCTTGTTCCCCTTCTCATTTGAACATTTTCTTCCTGTTCCCCAACAATCTATTATACATTTGGATCCTTATTTACCCTTTTAGTTTCTCACACCAGAGAAACAATATGGCATTTAAACATGTGTGTATGTGTTAGTTCTCTGAGGCTGTAACAAAATACCAGAGAAAAAGATTCATTTTACTTGTGATTTTTGAGGATTTAGTCCATGGTCCCCCGACTCCACCACCTTGAAGCCTGTGGTGAAACAGAAATATTACTGAAGCAATACATGTAGAGGAAAGCTGTTCATCTCATGGCAGTTAGGAAGCAGAGAGGCCAGGAAAGAGATGGGATAAGACACACCTTTCTAGGTGATGCTCCAGTGGTCTGCCTCCAACTGCATAGACCTCCAAACAGCCCCCTCAACCGTGACTATATGAATGAATTAATCCACTGACGAAGTTAGGGTCCTATTATCCAGTCACCTTTATGACCTCCACCTCTAAACATGTGAGTCTTTTGGGGATTTTTAAAATCTAAACCATTGGGGCTGGGGATTTAGCTCAGCGGCATAAGCGCCTGCCTTGCAAGCAGGCAGTCGTGAGTTCGATCCCTGGTACCGATAAAAAGGAAAAAGACAAAAAAAAAAATAAATAAATAAAATAAAATAAAATAAAATAAAATCTAAACCATAATAGCATCTGGTGTAGGATGGAGCCTGATGCAAGAGAGCCAGCACTGTATTTGAAACAAGACAAAGTCATGTTTCTGGAAAGGTAGGCTATCAAGAGCGAATTTAATGTTAGCCACCCAGTGGGAAGACGTACTGAGAAGGGAGAACGTGGAGAGAAGCAGGAGGGTGCGAGTGCAGGCTGGGAGAAGGGAGGCCAAGTGGTTCAGGACCCAGGAGACGACTCAGGACACAGTCCTGGTGCCTCTGGGGTGTAGCACTTCAGGAGCAATGTGAGAAGCTGAGAACAAGCTCATGGCTTAATTATCTTCCCAATATTTCCAGAGTTTTATTTACACCTGAAATTCTTTCTTGAAAAAAAACTAGAAATCTACAGATCTATTCTCTGTTGAGTTCTAGGTCTGTTCCAGCTCCATGAATTTACCCTGTCATGTTGAATGTAATGGTTTTGTTTTTAATTTTTCCTAATAGATTGCGGGGCTATCTTTTTGAAAACAAAATTCTTATCTGTAACCTAATATAGAAACCACGAGGACACAGTGTAAACCGTCAACAATTAATGGAGAATACCTCATTGTTTGTGGACGTCCTAAAGGTCTCAGGGGAGTCCGAGAATTCTGTAGTGCTCCACAGCCAAGAATTCTGTGGTGAACCATAGGCCACGAGGCCAAGGCCAGCCTCATAATCTAAAAGGCTTAGATTTCAGAGACTTAAGTGCCTGAAGAGGGGATAGTGCCTTCCTTCCTTAATTAAAAAAAAAAAATTTAGCCCATTGTTGAATGGGAACCATGACAATTCTGGATTACTTACTTAGAAAGAAATTATTAAGTTTTACATTTTCCCTTTAAGTCTTTTCACATAAACTAATTCCCCAAACTATACTACACTATGCAGTCCCTAGACTCCAAGGGATCTGATGAGAAAAATGGGTCATCACGGAAGGCAGGATGTTCACTGACCACTGTCTTGTGAGGATGCATAGGAAGGGGGGAAAATCCATGTCCATTGAGTGATGTGCTTACTTTATGAAGGACATAACAGAAGGATCCAGCAAAACGAGCTAGCAACTGAAGGGCCCATCTAGGTAGTTAGTGAACTTTAAGAACTCTTTTCAACTTTTAGGGTGGCAGCGACCCTTGAATCTTTTGGGCTGCATTCACCAGTTTGCTCAGAAGACCTTAGAGATAGGAGAAGAGCAAAAAAGAAAATAGTTTTACGTGGGTCATCCACACAGAGCTCCATTTCCCCTGTTTTGTCCTTGTCTTTTTGAGTCAAGGTCTCACTATGCTGTTCAAGCTGGCCTTGAACTTGCTTTGTAGTCCAGGTTGGTCTTGAACTTGCAGTGATCCTCCTGCCTCAGCCTCCCAAGTTCTGGGATTACAGGTATGTACCATCACACTTGGCTCACATTTCCCTTTTTTTTTTTTATCAGTACTAGGGATCGAACTCATGACTGCCTGCTTGCAAGGCAGGCCCTTATGTCGCTGAGCTAAATCCCCAGCCCCACATTTCCCTTTTTCTACTGCTGAAGGTTCACAAGGAAATGGAGAAAAACTAGCAATGTTATTTCTATCTGGAGCAACATAGACGCTGGGCAGATAAAGTCCTTTTGCCTTTCCAAGTGGAGCAGGATGAAGTTTTAGAGTCGAGATCCACCTGTTTCTGTCCCTGTCTAGATGCTTTTTTGCTATGAGTTGGTGAGTTTATGCTTCTTCCTAGGTAAGATGAGTGAGATGTAGTCTATCATCAAAGACCTCCCACTTTGTCTGTGAAACACACACTTCAAGAAGACTTATTCTCTCTGCTTCTGAGATGGGAGGCTTCCGTAAGGAATTGAGACAACATAAATCTTTTTTTAAAAATCCATTTTATTCAAATATAAAAAGAAAGAAAAAGAAGAAGGAGGAGGAAGAGAAGAAGAAGAAGAAGAAGGAGGAGGAGGAGGAGGAGGAGGAGGAGGAGGAGGAGGAGAAGAAGAAGAA